TGATGATGATCATGATGATGACCATGGTGATGATCATGATGATGATCATGAAGATGATCATGATTATGACCATGGTGATGATCATGATGATGATTATGGCCATGACCATGACCATGATGATGATGATGATGATGATGATGATGGTGCTGGTGAGAGTGTTGATGAAGATGATGATGACGATGCTCGTGAGCAACGCAATGTCTTGCTGCGGGCGCCGTCTAACATAGCATGCAACTTGCCTACCGCGATCGACGTGGTGCCTGGCACACGAATCCTGGTCCGGTCCTATGAATGGCAATCCGACTGTTTCGGTAGGTTTGAAACTGACGGCAGGTAGGGGCTCTGAGCCGTCTGAGCCCCATCAGCTCTACCCATTCGCAAATAGGCCTAAATGCTAAGCAGAAACGTCCCCCTAGACCCTAAAGCCTGAAACTCACACTCTGCAAACGGCCTTCTGCAGCGCAGCGCCACTCGGGGCGCAATTCGCAGCGAGTCCCTCCGGAGCACCCGTGTGTGTGTACAGGGTTTGGGAACGATAACTAGTCTGTATTGAGACGTCATCTAATTTGATAAGGTTTGTAGAATGTTGAAAGGACTCTATTTGGCCTTATACAAGTGTATGAAGGCTTTATGCGATTTTCAGAGGATCGCGCTTGGGTGTTATAGCGGTTTAATGGGATTCTACAAGGCTCTTGTGAGGTTTCACGAGGGCGCTATGAAGGTCCGCGAGCTGCCCAGCTTCCATGCTCGATGAAGGGCTGATGACGGGTCAACCTTGCGCCCTGCAACATGAAAGGGTTTAGGGTTTAGGGTTTAGGGTTTAGGGTTTAGGGGTTAGGGTTTAGGGTTTAGGGTTTAGGGTTTAGGGACTACGGTTTATTCGGGTTTAGGATTGTAAAGCCCCACATCTTTCAGCGCCCAGGTGGAAGGGTAGCTGGCTGTGCCAAGGGTATTTTCTGAGGCATCATAACGGGTGCATTTCATGGCGCCATGACCCAATGCACATCGCACATGTCATTTGCAAGAAATCAGAGGACTACAGTTGCGACCATATAAACCGCGTAGGGCTGAAAGTGAAAACTTCACCAGGTTCACCTGGCTCTCGGGCGCACTCACCGAAAAGCCATCCCGCAAGAAAAGACAATTCGTCTTGCTCCAACTCGACACCCTGTCGCGTGGAAATATGGCTTTCCACGCAGTGCACGCGTTTTCTTCGGCTCACGCGCCACAAAGGGGGGCCTGAGTGGAAGCTGGACGCACTTGGACAGACCGGGGCGAAACGGGCTCCAGATGAATTTTCGAGTGCGGCGCGATGCGACTTTCCACAGGCAAGGCCATGGAAAGGAGAAAGCGGCAAGAATTGCTGTCTAGATGCAATAAAAGCCTGAATCCACTCGACGAGGTTGTTCGGGCGCTGCTCATCGGAGAACCGGGCCACGAACATCTCTCGCGCTGACTGGGCTCTGTCAACAGAAGCACCCTTATTCGGTTCCCTAATTCCAATCTATCATGCCAGTTTCTGTGAACCGTCCTACATCACCCCTCCTGACCCTCAAGCACATCATACAAATCCTAAAGTTTACGAGTACTGCCAAACCTCGCAAACCCTGAGCCGGCACCTGCAAAATCAATGGGGGTGCTTGGGCTCCTGCAAAACCAGGGTGTTCGACACTGCTGCTAAAGACATCCAAACTTACACCGAGATCTGGCTTCAATATAAACTGTCTGGTGCTTAGGAGGGAATGGGGGAATGGATCCCTATGATAGTCCCTTTAAGGTCCCGTATAGTAGTCCCTATAACCCATTCCCCCATTCCCCACTAGGCACCAGACAGTAAACCGTACTCCTAACCCAGGGGCTCCAATGTAGTTCCTTTTTGGGTTTGTTATGGCTTTTTGGTAAGGAGTTATAGTATACTAGCCAAAAAGGAACTACATAGGAGCCCTTGGGAAATATCAGCAGCTGTCAACCGGAAGACGTTGCTCTAAGCAATAATATACACCGGTGACCGGAGGGTTTAGGGTTTAGAGTTTAGGGTTTAGGGTTTAGGGTTTCAATCTCAACCCGAAAAGCCTGAACCCTGAAACTACGAACCCTGCACGCCTAAACTCTACATGCGCTAAGTTCTGAAATACTCTAAAACATCCTCCAAGCACCAATACCCTAAACCCTAAACCCAAAACCCTAAACCCCTAAACCCTAAACCCCTAAACCCTAAACCCCAATATCCTATAAAGTTTAAAACCGCGAGCCCTGATCGAACGTGAAATGGTGCTTGATCACTGACTGCGGGGAGGATGCATAGATCCCGAAAGGGGACTCCTAGAAATCAAGATACCCTTTGCATAGTAGTGGGTCTAGGGTTTAGGGTTTAGGGTTTAGGGTTTAGTAGTATAGAGTCCCAAGTTAGGGAATGTATGTGTTAGATCCTTCCGGAGGTCTGGTACCAAGTCCCCTGATCCTCCAACACGGAAGCCTCCCTTCATCTCCAAGCCCTCAACCAACAACGGTACGCCTCTAGCAGCCACCTTTTCGCGGCCGCAAGGTTCTTCTCGTGGCAAGCCTTCAGACAGAATCTCGATTTCGGGTTGAGGGTTCAGGGGCGGTGCCGAACGGTCCTTTGTTAAGGATTCTATACGGATTCTACAAGAGTTCCTTCGATTCAACAGTTTCTTGATTTCAGAGGGTCCCGTTTCGATAACTCTGCTGTCTTGCTTGGAGTAAACGTGGACCATACGGGGGTGTAGTCCGCGTCCCTAAGGTGACTACAAAGTACTTCCGTTGGGCTACAAGAAATTCCAGTTGTGCCTACCTGACTTAGCATCTTCGTACTAAGTCTTAAGTCCCAGGATCCTTCAGATAACAACACACTCACACACTCCCTGAAACCCTGCGCAGTTAGGACAAGGATGGAAGCTGATGGAAGCTGGTGCACAGGCGAGGCGAAAGAGATTTTGGAATCTCAGGCTGAAGTCTTGGATTTGATTGAGATCTAGTACGGGGTGTAGTGGGTTTAAGGGTAAAGTTTAGGGGTTTCGCAGCTCGGAGGCTTAGGTTCGGCACATTTCGGCACCCCAACATTGAAAACTCCTGCACTCCGTGTTGGTATGATCGCAGAAACCTCAAGCCGTGAATGCCAAATCCTAAAGCATCACTTCTGTGTGCCCGGCCGCCACAATCAAGCCGGAGTAGGATGACCTGCCCGTGACGTCTTCTTGGAGTTCCGTGTGTGGTTTCAGGATCCAAAACTGAATCAGTCAGCGCAAAACAAACCCTCCACAAGAATCTATGAATCATAAGTCCACAGATGCTGTTCTACAGCTAAGCTAGGGTCTACATGTCCCAACCGCAACCAGACAGCAGGCGCAAGTGTTTGCTCAATAAATCCGCCCTTTTTTGGAGCATTCGGATCTTTGGCAGCCACCCTAAACCCTAAACCCTAAACCCTAAACCACTCCTAGCCATTTCTCTATCTTCTCCTTCTTGCCGCGGAGCTTGGAGACAGGCCCCTCGAGCCGTAGTGCCGTCTCCTGGTACACGTAGGTCTCCCTCCTAAACCCTAAACCCTAGACCGTAAACCCCAAACAGCCAGATCATCTTGGCCATGAACGACTGCCATGGTGTAGCGCCGTCAGCAGGGAGTATAGCAGGGCTTAATTAGTCGGGTTTTGGGGTGTTCCTTTACAGGGTTTCTTAAAGGGTTCTGTAAGGGCTACTATAAGGGTTTAAGGTTTAGAGGCCTTAATAATTAGAATAGGGTTGGGGTCGTTTACAGTATACTTATAATCAGGAACCCCCAAATAATATAGGTAACTATTTAAGCCCCTACCTTATAGCAGGACTTGAGAGGATGCAGCTTGAGCGAATACCGGTTTAGGGATCCGGGTTTAGGGAATAGGGGGGCTCTGGCTAGAAAGAATTTAGGGTTTAGGGTTTAGGGAATAGGGTTCAGGGTTTAGGGTTCACAGTTTTGGGTTTACGGTCGCGCATGATCACGGGTGGACTATAGTACCGATATAGCCTCAAAAGTGAGCCTCTTCCTCAAGGCCAACCCCTGAATCCCCTTCGGCACCAAATCCATGGAAACCCCTAAACAAAATTTCAATCGCTCTAGTATAGAGGAGCCTGCATCCCTCCTAACATACCCTTGACCCAAAACTTTTAAAACTCTGAACTCTCAAACCTTAAAAGCCCTACCCTAAGAGATCCCAAAAATCTTCAAGTTCTTCAAGACCCCAGGCCCTACACCCTAAACCCTAAACCCTAAACCCTAAACCCTAAACCCTAAACCCTAAACCCTAAACCATAAACCCTAAACCCTAAACCCTAAACCCTAAACCCTACACCGCACGCTCCTAAATCTCAAGCCGCAAACCAACAAAACCAAACATCCTAAGGCTCCCCTAAACCCTCTCCCTTAGGGTTTTGGGTTCAGGGTTTAGGGTTTAGGGTTTAGGGTTTAGGGTTTAGGGTTTGGGGTTTAGGGTTTAGGGTTTTGGGTTCAGGGTTTAAGGTTTTGGGTTCAGGGTTTAGGGTTTAGGCTCTCCCAACTCTGAAGCCTTCAGCCACAGAACCCCTACATATCCTAAGGTTCCTGAAGCCCCCAAACCCAAAAAACGCTGAACCCGAAAAACCTAAAAAACACAAAAAAAGGAAGCCCCAAAACCCGAAACCCTAGCCAGAGCCCCCCTATTCCCTAAACCCGGATCCCTAAACCGGTATTCGCCTGAATTCCTAAGACCATCAACCTTGGACCAGAGCCGCCAGGCCCCCCCGCCGCGAGAGCTCCACACCAGAAGCCCTTGCTTCCTGCGCCACCCGCTCCGCCGTGACCAAGGAAGACTTCCTTTCAGGGCTCCTTTTTAGGGCTTATAGGGTTTAGGGTTTAGGGTTCAGGGGTTTGGGGTTTAGGGGTTTAGGGGTTTAGGGGTTTGGGAAGATTTCCTTTCAGGGCTCCTTTTTGGGCTTAGGGTTTAGGGGTTTAGGGTTTAGGGTTCAGGGGTTAGGCGTTTAGGGGTTTGGGAAGACTTCCTTTCAGGGCTCCTTTTTGGGCTTAGGGTTTAGGGGTTTACGGTTTAGGATTTAGGGATTTAGGGGTTTAGGGGTTTAGGGGATTAGGGGTTTTGGGGTTTGGGAAGACTTCCTTTCAGGGCTCCTTTTTGGGTTTAGGGGTTCAGGGGTTTAGGGTTTAGGGTTTGGGGTTCAGGGGTTTGGGGTTTAGGGGTTTGGGAAGACTTCCTTTCAGGGCTCCTTTTAGGGCTTAGGGCTTATAGGGTTGAGGGGTTTCCTTGTTGTGTTCGTTTAGGATTTAAGGGGTGATGAATCAGGTTTGACAGGGGTTTTGGGCTCAGGGTCTTTGGTCTTAGGGTGCTCGACATTCCTTTCGGGATGTCTCCGGTTTTACTTGGTTCTGCAGGGGTTTTTTATCTGGGTTCTGGGCTTCGGGTGTATGTAGGGAGGCTAAACCCTAAACCCTAAACCCTAAACCCTAAACCCTAGGTTTTTGTTAAGGGCCTTTTCTCGTCGCCTGCACTCCGAAGCCCGTCTAGGGCAGGCAAGGTTCCACGCTAGTATCGCTTCACCCCTCAGGTCTCAAACTCGACGTAATGTAAGGAACTTAATCATTAGACTTGGGCTGTGGGGGTGTATATATATATACATATATATATATATATAGGTATTATACTATGCTTATATTCAGGAAGCCGCAGAATAGTATGATAAGTATTTATCCAGGCCCCCATGTTTAGCCACCCTCAACAGCCACAGCCAAGCAGCAGCAGCCAAGTCCGACTCTGTAAAAAACGTAGGGATGGAGTTTAGGGTCCCGGGGCTTGGACACAGGAAACACCTTCAGTTACCGGTTTAGGGTTTAATGTAGGGGCCTTAATACTTAGAATAGGGTTTTCGAGCCCATTATACTATACTTATAATAAGGAACCCCCAAAATCCCTAAACCCTAAATAGTAATATAGGTAATCACTTTAGGCGCCTAAGTTAGGGTTTTTAGGGCTTCTTTCTAGCTCTGGGACTTTCGGGATAGCCGGCTTCGTGTTGCCTCAAGGTAGGCCACTGACTTCTCCAAGAAAGCCACAAAGCATCTCCAAGAGAACACGTTTAGGGTCTAGGGTTCAGGGTTTAGGGTTTACGGTCTAGGGTCTAGGGTTTAGGGTCCAGGGTCTAGGGTCTAGGGTTTAGGGTTTAGGGTCTAGGGTTTCCTGATTTGACACCCCGAAACCAAAACTAACCCCTTAATTAGAAAAGGCTCGAAGTCAGCAACGACCTTAGAACAATTAGCAATACCGCTGAACCCTGGACCAAAGCCATAAAGCCCCGATACATCTTACATGACATCCCCGGTAAAAGCTTGAAAAGTCGTTTGGAATCCTTCGAACTCTCTTGACAGAACCTCGAGAGTAAATAATAGGGCCCCCAAAAGGCACATAAGCAAAAATTAGGATAGGGATATCCCACAAAAATTCCCGGACAACGAAGCCCAATAAGGTAGGGATATCCCTATAAAGTGCTTGTGCTTATGTCCTTTTGGGGTTCCCAAAATATCCACCAAACCAAATCTGCAGAATGGCAACCGCGGCACGCCAAACCCTAAATTAAAGGAAACTACAGGTGGGGACTTTAGGGTATCTAGGGCTTCTATAAGGCTTCCATAAGGTATATAGACCTTCTATAAGGCTCCTGTAACGGTAACTACCCACCTGAAAATGTCCTAGACTAAACCCTTCAACCGCGGCACCCTAAACCCCAAAACCCCGAAACCCCTACTACCATGGCCTGGTGGTCAAATCGATCAAGGCATGGAAGGCCTTCCAGGCAGGAGCGGTTTGGGTTAGGCCTTGGGGGGTGGGGTAGGGTGGGCTTTTTGGAATTCGGCTTGCAGACTGGCCCTAAACCCTAAACCCCTAAACCCTAATTGAACACTAAAACCTACACCCCTAAACCGCCTAAACCTAGACCCCAAACCCTAAACCCTAAACCCCTAAACCCTGAGCCCCGAAACCCCTAAACCCCAAGCCCCTAAACCCGAAGCACCCTAAACCCCAAACTTCTTCGACTTTTGGATCTGGGCCCGAGGGAGCTTAGAGCTTTAGGAGGTTTTGGCTTCGTGGTTTTGGGGGGTTCCTTAGGGTTTAGGGTTTAGGGGTACCAGGGCCCCGTTACTAGAAAGTGATCAAGAAAAAGCATGTCTTGGAGGCTCCGAGACTGCCTTCCAGCCACATTTACAGTTTTGGGTTTAGGGTCTCAAACGGAACAAAGCAACGGCGGCTTGGATGTTCGGCCCCAGCCGTCGATCTCCGCATGGAGTGAACTTCGGCCTCACTGCCCGTTGCCCCGCCATAAACTCAGGTGTGTCCACGGTTTAGGGTTTAGGGCTTAGGGTTTCATGGAAACCTAAAAAGATGGCTGTTTGATACTAGACAAGCTGTGGAAGGCCGTGGCATGCATGACGGAGTTTCAAATCTCAGAGACTGATGACACTTCACCACCACCAAAGCATTAATTAAACATGCAGATCGACTTCTTCTACCGTCTTCGAACACAGCGCCCTGAACTCTACTTCCACCTACTTCCTTAACCCGAACCCGTAAGCCCTAAATCCTTAACCCTAAACCCTAATTTAAACCCTAAACCCCCCAAATCCCAAACCCTAAACCCTAAACCCTAATTGAAAACCGAAACCCCCCAAATCCCAAACCCTACACCCTAAACCCTAATTTAAACCCTAAACCCGCCCAAATCCCAAACCCTAAATCCTTAACCCTAAACCCCGCAAATCCCAAACCCTAAACCCTAAACCCTAAACCCTAATTTAAACCCTAAACCCCCCAAATCCCAAACCCTAAACCCTAAACCCTAATTTAAACCCTAAACCCGCCCAAATCCCAAACCCTAAATCCTTAACCCTAAACCCCCCCAAATCCCAAACCCTAAACCCTAAACCCTAAACCCTAAACCCTAAACCCTAAAACCCTTAACCTCAGGATTTGGAACCCTGACCTTCTCCAGGGGGGCAGGC